CTTCTTATATATATATATATATATATATATATATATTCAAAAAAACCATAAGATATACCTACAGAGTGTTTAATTTGTCAACTGAGATCGGATTTCTTAATGTAATTTTGCAATATCTTCTTTTTAGGGCTGCATCGTTTTTTCCACATATGATGAATCTGTTGTACTCTTGTGCTCTTAAAGTCTTCCATGTAAATCCAAGTCCATTAAATTCGAAGTTATATGGAGATGTTAGTGCCAGGTCAGTTCTACATTACACCACTTCAGTGCTATGATACATGTATCTACAGTTAAGGTACAAATTAACAAGACTTTAAGTTCCCTGCCATGGATTGTAACTACCTTATCTATGTTTATGAATTTTCTATTTCTAATTGTTTAGTACTCCATGTTTGAGTTCTAACAATCTGGATTCTTCCAAACAGATTTTTATATCTTTAAAAGTTGAGATTGAGCATTTATAGCATTCCCCTACTGATCAGGCTTATTTTTTAGCTTTTCTCCTTGGAAAATTCCATAGTTCCTTTCTACTTAATATTCATATATTATAAACAAAGAAAAAGTTATCGTTGCATTTACGAAACCCTAGGAAAAAAACAAAGAAAATGTTGTTCATTTGGTGAATTAACTTCATGATGGAGAACCTGTGTCATAATGTTCACAGTAGTCACTTTTAATTTATTGTTATCATATTTGACCTGGTCTAAATCATCATGATTATGCATCAAACACCATCCGCTGCAACATTTCTGCAAAATTCTGGAACTATTGTTTCTTAGATTCTTGTTTCTAACATCGTTGCTATTCTCACCTCAATTATGTTATACTTATTTCTCGCTTTGCTCTAGGGGCACATTCAATCCTCTAATGTTTCATTTCCCTAACCGCATAACCATTTTTGTTTGAAACGATTTGTGGAAAACCTACTGGTTTTACATGAAAACGACTGGAGAGACAGAAACAAAAAAAAAAAGAAAAGAAAATATCAACCTACAGAATTAGATGTTGTCCTTGGTGTGACAAAGTCTTGGCTTACTCCTGGAGAAATGTTATGGAGATATCCTTGATTAAACAAGATGTTAAGTTTCTGCCATATATTGTCATATACAAAAAATGTAAAGTGAAATGAGTCCATTATTTTGACTTTTCAATTAGGCTACTGTTTCCATACTATGCCTACTTCATCCTGCCATCCTCTTGTTCCTGGTCCACAACAACATTTGTGAAATATGTAATTTGAATTCAGCTTAAGGTTTTCTTATACTTATGTCAAGTTATATTTTGGCATATTGATTGCAAAAGTAATTGTATTCATAATATTAATGTTCACCTTGACTCCTATTAGAAAGAAATTAATCTAGAGTTTAAAGCTTCTTCGTGTCAGATTAGTGGCAGGATGTATTTTGGCTGCTTAAAGACTCGAGAATGGTTTCAACAATTCCTAAATTTTTAAGTTTTCTTTGAGATCACCAATGTTATAGAATTTTGATGATTATCTCTAATTATCATGCATAATATATCTGTTAGATATCGTAATAAATAAAAGTTGACCAATTTGCAGGATATGGTGCAAATGGTGCTATAATACATTATAATCCGAATTCAGAAAGTTGTAGTGTTGTTGGTGATAAAAACCTCTTCCTATTAGATAGTGGTGGTCAGTATGTGGATGGTACCACTGACATAACAAGGACAGTGCATTTTGGTGAACCTTCATTGCGACAAAAGGAATGCTTTACCAGAGTTCTACAGGTGCTCAGCTCATCTGTTTATTATTGTTTCAGGTTCAAGTGCTGTCAATAAATTTAGACAAGATTTTTAGTTTGTATATATTTTGCCAACTTCAGCAAAATTAGTTTATGACTTGTTGATCTGAGTTGATTTACTTTGTTGGAACAGGGTCATATAGCTATTGATCAGGCAATATTCCCTGAAGGTACTCCTGGTTTTGTTCTTGATATACTTGCACGATCACCTCTTTGGAAAATTGGACTTGATTACCGACATGGTCAGACTCTCATAATTAGTTATATTATTGGAACATCTATTTTGCGTTTATAATTGTTGAATGTATCAGTGGATAACACGGTGTGATTTCTCCATGCATAACTTCAGGGACAGGTCATGGGGTTGGAGCTGCGCTAAATGTCCATGAAGGACCACAGAGTATAAGCTTCAGATATGGAAATATGACTGCTTTGCAGAAGGGCATGATAGTTAGCAATGAACCTGGATACTATGAAGACAATTCATTTGGTATACGGATTGAGGTGGAGTACATATTCTTATCTTTTTCTCCTCTTTCAGATAAGAGAATATAAATGTTTTGCAGAAGGGGATCAGTGTATGTGTATCACTGTCTCTTACAAATAGAAAACAGGATGTCTTTGCATGCTTCTCATTTTATTTTTGAAAAGGAGATCATGCACATGCACATGCTGCCAGTTTGCAATTATTTATATATGAAAAATGGACTTCTTCTGCACTCTGTATAAATGCAATAAAATGTCAATATAGGAATATTTTAAGAAAACAGTTAAAACTTGGAACAAGCTAAAATTGATGAGCATGCTATTCTAGTTCTTTGACATGACTATTAATAGAAGGAGAAGGCTATCATGCAACGACACTAATGTCTAGGTAACCCGTTATTTGGTTACTTCTATGTCCAGTGATATGATTGATTTAGGGATTCTAGTTAGCATTTTTTTTTCAAAAAGAAGTTCATTTCAGAAACATGTTGACCCATTAAATTTCATTTTTGATGCACGTGATTCTCTCGTGTAGGATGTGCAATACAGTGATTAATTTTCAAATATTTGTAATTTTGTGTTAATGTCTGAATTAAAAGATAAAGAGGTCTTCTGTTACTATAAGTATATTAAAAGAATTTGTGACTATCTATATTAAAATATGTCCTATTGATCTGTGTATCATTTTGTTAGTGCCTATTGATAAGAAAATTCTGTCGCATATTACCTGAACGAATATTTTGTACATAGTACTAACCACTAACCTTTTTAAAGGGAAAAAAAACTGTCAGAAAATTTTCAAGGTATGACTGATGTGATGTAGGAATATGGTAAAAGTTATTGTATATTTGTATGTTGCAACTATTTTTAAGTCAATTACATTGATCTTTCCCAGCATTGGTTTTTCTTGAGGGCAATATTATCAGTCAAATTTAAATCTACAAGATCTGCTGTAATTTTTTCTAATGAATTTTTCTTAACTTTTCATCTTTAATTTTCTTGCACCACTAATTAACTATTATTGTCTAATTGGTGTATATAAAGTCCTACTGAATTTCATTTTTAAAACAATCCATCATACCTATACAAATACAGGACGGTTTTTATAGGTTCAAGCCATGACTGAATGGTTTTTATATGGATCGGGCAATTTGGCTAGTTCATTGAGGAATAATGTCCGCCCAATACACTTACTGCATCAGGTGACTTGGTTAAAATTTGACCAGTACACAGGTCTCTCTCTCTCTCTCTCTCTCTCTCTTATGCGCTCTCTTTCTCCCCTTGTCCTCCTCCCTGCTTGTCGTCTGTGTTGCCTCGCAGATACTATCGCCTTGCACATCGCCAATGACCCAATGTTTCCTCTCATTCAGGTCGCTGTCTCATCCTCTTAGGTCCTGTATGTCTCCTCTTCTGCTTGTCCTCTGCACTCTTCCTTGTCCCCTTGCTCCATCTTCTCCTCCACTAGTCTTCCTTTTCTGCCTCCTCTTCCTTGTCTCTCACTAGTCTGGGCAGTGCCGGCATGTATGAGTGTGGCTACATCAATCTATATTAGTCAGGCACTGAACAATATTGGCATGAGATTGAGATGTTAAATGTTGCTCCATAAAAACAACCAAATCTGTTTTGTTTTGTTTCTAGTTAATTCAATGCTACAAAAAGACTTGTGTTGATAGAGTGATGTTTGGAAGCTGGAAGGGTGCTATGGTAGAAAGGTGAGTTTAGTTGACAGACACTTAAGGAGGCTCCTATAGGATGTAGGTTTAAATAGATTCAATGAATTTGCATTATATTAGGATTGAGATGATTCTGGACAATTAATTCTTGTTATGTAAGGTGATTCTAACCAAAGTTTGTCATACCGCAGCATGCCACTTGGTATGGGCTGCATGTACTGGTCCAATAGGGGACCGGTATAGGTGGTATGTCAGTATGCCCCCATGTATCATATGTCGGGACATTTGGTATGGCTTGGTATAGCTCTATACCGACAGTTGCTCAGTATACTGAAACGGACTGGTAAGGCAAACCATAATTCTAACCCATAAATATAGCATTGTAGACAAGAAGAGAAGAAAATTAGGTGAAAGAAAGGAGAATAAGGGCCTGATTTTCTATTGCAAGAACATAATAAGTAAAAGGAAATCTCTGTCTCCACTCTCCAGGTTTTAGTTTCTGAGTGCAATACTGAAAAGCATCCTTAAATAGGATTTAGAGCATTCCAGTGCCATCATGGCTGATATATAGGTTCTCATGGAATCCATTTGAAAAGGATAGTATAATATGTCATCTCAGAAGAAAAAAATGGTGAATAATTTTCATGCTTGAAGTGGACAAATAACCAACCAAAGGTTGTCCATAATTGCAGTGAAGTTAAAGCAGGGATTGCCTAATTTGCACCTGATCAGATCGCCACATGAAAACAAACTGTTCCCAAGTTACCTTCTTCTTTGCAACAATTTTTTAGTACTAATTGTCAAAGCTGCAAATATTTTTCACTGATCCACCAGCTCATTTGTTTTTGCAAGGTATCAACAACTCTATGCACCAACATAATATACTTTAAACCAAGGTTCGTTATATCGTACCGTATCGGCGTTTCGACCCGGGCTCGATACGGTACGGTACCGGTGTACTAGGCGGTACATCAGGGCGTATGGAGCGGTATACCCTGGTGTACCGAACAAATTTTTATTTATTATTTTATACTATAGCAGTGCTACAGTATAGTACTGTAGCACTGTAACGGTACCGGGCGGTCCGCGTACCGGTAACCTGTCGGACCGGAATGTACCGTCCGTACTGGGCGGTACGCTTCAGTATGGCAGACCTTGCTTTAAACCAAGGTTTTCAATTTCGAATAATACTGTCCGTACCGGTTCGTCAGTAGACCGGTACACGGACTGCCCGCTACCTGGCGATTTTTTTTTTACTTATATATATATATATATATGTATATATATAAAAGCGACGTCGCCCCGCGTGGGGAGAAGAGAGGTGACGTTGCAGATTTTTTTTTAACTTATATATATATATAGAAAAACGGGGCGACGTTGCCTTGTTTTTCTGCAATGTCGCCCCGCCTGGGGAGAAGAGAGGCGATGTCGCCTTGCGTGGGAGGCGAAAAAGATTTTTTTTCACTTTATATATATATATATACATACACACATCGCTCTGTCACAGACTTAGCTGGTTTTGACTAAGTCGTGCAGCATCCTTGCGTATTCATCCGCAAAGGTCAACCTCCCCGAAGCCTCCCATGGTTCCTTAGAACCTACAAAAGAGAAAACGGGATAGAGAAAACGCCTCACTCGGGATCTACAAGCAAACATCTCCGAAAACACTTCATAGATAATGCAAATTACAGACTTTACAAGCTCTGAACAGTTGCACAACAAAGGGTCAAAATTGTCCACTACAGACCGAAAATCTCTCACAAGTGTCCACATGACACAACTTTTATTTACAAGCCTAAAGCGGCTACCAAACCCAACTAAAATGGGACTATTAAGCCTTCGGCCGTCCCTCTACATGCTGTGCAAAGCATGAACATGCCAAAAGACACGGACATACATAAGCATTACATCAAACATCCTGTGTAGAAGTTTGTCCGTGACATTCTCCCCCACTTATTCCTTCGACGTCCTCGTCGAAGCCTTTTGCCGACACTACAACTCATCGCCTTTGTTGAGTCTTCAATCTTTTGCTCTAGCTGCAATGCACCTCTTGGCTCCCAACTGCTCTCCTCTGTTGTTGTTAAGTAGTCGAACTTTTGATCCGCTATGCTGTTTCAACTCGTCAATGACTTTGACTCTGGTGTGGGGTTGGCTGAGTTGTGTCGATCCTTGTTGATTCCTACGGATTCTCCAAATGAAGGAAAAGGCCATCCTTACTATGCGCTAGTCTCTCAAATACTACTTGCTGCTTGAACTGGGTGGATGCTTGTTGGAGCTGTAACGAGCATCGCCTCGCAAACTTTCGAAGTTTTGGGTCCTTCTTCTACAAAATGTCCATCGACTCTTCTTTCATTTAGTTGTCACTTCCAAGTAGATTCGCATCACTTCTGCTTTCGATTGATATTCTGTTGGGAAATGAAGCAGATAATATACTCTCAGTAGCACTAATTACCATTGGTGAGGATTTGACAACTATTGTCTTTCATTATCTTCGAATGGTCTTTGAACTTGTGCAGCGCTCCTCTGCTGGATAAATAAGAGAATTGGGGTACTCGGTTTCACCCATTCTCTTAAAAGTTGAGAAGGCAATGGTTACTTGACTTCGCCCGCCTCCTCAAGGGTTGTACTCCATGCATCGAGCTGGTTACTGACCTTCGCCTACTCTTTGCTCACATTTTTGAAGCACTTGAAGTGTTTGCACTCCTTGCATTGAGTTAGCTACTGTGATTCGCCTTCTCAATGCCATTGAACTTCTGGAGTACAGGAAGTTTTCACCCCAACTTGGAGTAATTCTCTAATAGATTTGGTCGCCTCTGGGATTGTATTGTCTTCTCCATCAACCCTGTCGCCTACTCCACTGAGTAGCGAAGGTACAGCACCGCGTACTGCCTGCTTCGTTCCTTGGTCGTGCACTCTTGCATGACCCGAAGTCCTTCACTTTCGGCTATCTTGATGAGAAGCTCGTTGATACCGGTCTTACGAAGTTCCTTGGCCTTTGCCCTTCAGCCTTGTCTCGGTACTTGGAGTTTGCCTCTGTATGCTCCACCTTCTCGGCCCCTTTCACGACCAAGCGCTCTCCCTCCATGAGAGCAAGGGATCAATGACTTTCACGGAAGTCTCGCCTCTGCAGTACCATGGCGCTGTCATGCCCATGGCCCTACTATCCGTCGCCTCGCATCTGCATCCCTTTTCTTCACGATCAGTAGATATGTCTCTGTGGCACTCCTCCAAGTCCACCTCCATTCTAACTGATGCTTGATTTTGGGTAGCTAAGTCCCTCTGGATTCGTCGTCGCTTCCTCGCCCCTTTCGACCCCTGCTTCAACACCTCTGTGTTCTCCAAGCA